GACTCTTCAGGCCAACCATTCTTACAGTACTCATATACTTTTATCAAGCACTCATCTTTTTGTGTTTCTCTCTTAACATCATTCACATTTATATTGGAGTTATCCATGATAGTGAAAAGAACAAATACATCTTCTGGTACATAACTAAGGCTTTGGTTTTTTAAAGGTAAACGACTAAGAGCATCTGCACTATTCTCAGATCCATGTTTGTATCTCAATTCATAATTGTATGTGGCTAGTGTGATAGCCCACCTTTGAACCCTTGGTGAGGCATGCTCAGACAGGGGTTTGTTTTCCCCAAACAAACCCAGCAATGGCTTATGATCTGTAAAGATGGTGAACTCCCTACCAAACAGAAACTTGTGAAATTTCTTAACACCAAATTGATGCCTAAGCCTTCCCTATCTAACTGAGAATAATTTTTCTCAGCCTGGTTCAAAGATCTACTGGCAAAAGCAATGGGTCTGTCACCATTTTCATCTATGTGGGATAAAACTGCTCCTACACCATCTATTGAAGCATCACATGTTAAGATAAGTCTTTTCCCTGGGTCATAGTGATTTAGCAAGGTATCAGAAGACAAAGCTTCTTTTGCTGCATTAAAAGCAGCATCTTGTTGTTTACCCCAGTGCCAAGTTGCATTTTTCTGCAGCAGCTTGTACAGTGGTGATAGTTTATCAGATTCCCTATGAACTTCGCATAGTAATTTATCAAGCCCAAAAAAGCTCTTAGCTGTTGGGTATTTTCAGGTTTGGGTGCTTCTTTAATGGCTTTTGTTTTCTCAGGTTGAGGTCTGAGACCCTGCCTGCTCAAACTATAACCCAGAAAACTAATATCTGTCAGCATGAATTGACATTTATCTTTGTTTATCTTTAAACCCTTTTCACCAACTATTTTCAAGACTTTATCAAGTGTTTTAAGATGTTCAGTGTCATTCTTACTAGTTATGTATACATTGTCAAAGTAAACACAAACTTTTGAAATGTCCTGAAAAATACTGTCCATGACAGCCTGGAAAATTCCAGGACTAGATGATATACCAAAACATAGTCTTTCATATTGGTAGAGTCCTTTATGTGTGTTTATTGTCGTATAGACTTTTGAATCTGGATGCAGTTCTAGTTGAGTGTAAGCATGACTAAAGTCTAATTCATTGAATTTGTCTCCTCTTGCCAACTTCAAAGAAATTTCTTCAATGTTAGGAATAGGGTACCTATTTAGCTCTATTTGCTTATTCAGTGTAGCTTTATAGTCTCCACAAATTCTTACAGAACCATCCATCTTTAACACTGGCACAATGGGAGTTGCCCAATCGGAATAGTCTACCTTCTTTATGATGCCATTAGATTCCAATCTACTTAGCTCATTTTCAATTTTATCCCTCATTGCATAAGGTGGAACTCTAGCTTTGCAGTATCTTGGATTTGTGTCTTTAATGCTTATCTTCATTGTCCTATCATTTAGTAATCCTGAACTACCAAAGACACCTTCATTTTCAGATATAACTTTATCTATTGAAGTAAAACTAGATTCTCTTGCTTTGTTCACTGAAAATATATTCCCCCAACTAACCAGTTCCTACCTAGTAATGGTGGTCCATTTCCTTCAACCACAAGAAGAGGAAGTTTAACACTTTGACCATTATAGCTTACATGAACCATACACTCTCCTATCACCGGAACATTGTCACCTGTGTATGTTGTTAGGCACTTGTGACATGTTTTAAGAGGCACTGATCCTCCTGTGACAGCGTCAAAGTCCTTCTTTGTGATGACGGTTAGAGATGCTCCCGTGTCAAGTTGGAAGATGATGCTCTTACCGTTGACACAAATTAGTACGTTGATGGGAGCATGACTGGTTGATTTCACAGAGAACAGGTTGAACTCCGGCTGCGAATCAGTTTGAGCATTTTCACTGGTAGAGTGGTTCATTGGTTGGGTTAGGTTGTCTTGGTGACAGTTAACATAGTGCTGCCTTTGGTTGCGGTACTGTCCTGACTGGCTAGATCTAGCAACAGACGAAGACTTTGCAAAGCAGGCCTTGGCAATGTGACCTTGCTTACTGCACTTATAACAAGTTGCTGGCTTGATTTTGCATTGATGAGATGCATGGGGACCGTTGCATCGATGACATTTTTGATAATTATTACTAGATTTAGATCTAGGATTTGAACTTGCAGGCTGTTTAGCATAAGTTGATTTGCTCTGATGGGGTTGGTGTTTGTTGACTAACCTGCTGTCTACTGCATGGATCCCTGAAGGCGCCAGCGATCTGGCCGCATCGGATGACTGCTGGAATGAAGTTGCAAGTAGTATTGCTTTTTCCAATGTGAGATCTGACTCGAGAAGCAACTTTCTTTGAACATCAGGGCTGTTTACACCTGTCACAAACTTTTCACATAGTCTGTCGGACAGCGTGTCACCGAATTCACAGAATTCACTTAGAATACGTAAAGCAGCAACATATTCTGATATTGATTCGTTTGGTTGACGAGTCCTACCGTCAAATCTGGCTCTATACAGGAACTTTGGTTGTGCAGGCGCATGGTGGTCTGTTAGCAGTTTGCTCAGCTCGTTAAAGCTCTTGGTAGCTGGACTAGCTGGTGCGCATAAGTCCTTTAATAGCCTAAATTGTTGAGGCCCTATGACTGTTAACAAAACAGCTCTCTTTTTGGCTTCTATCGTCACGTCGTTAGCTTCAAGGTAAAAGCTTAACCTATCTAGATAATCATGAATGGTTTCATCATTCGAATTAAATTCTTTTATCTGGCCATACGGCGCCATTATCCTACAAATACTTAGCCAATTATGCTCTAGCAAGCTTCTTCTTAAGTAAGCATGTGCTCTTTTTAGTGGATTGATTTATCCTCGTCGCCAATGTAATGGATTGTGGTCCTATTATAACACAATAGACGATGAAGCCATTTAATATGCACCTTGTCTTTATTCTGCATCAACAATCGGAAGATGACATGCAAGGGACATCACTCAAAAACATTATAAATATAAGACTAATACAAGAAGAGTGAGTTCCCTTGAATTCACAAAGCTCAATATATTACAGACGCGTTCAAGTGTGCTATTACGGAATAATACTTTGTGTTGTTTTATTTTTTCTAAGAAAGAGAATGGATCGGTCAAGATACAAATCTCATTTAAATTGGAAGTTCGCCCTGAACGCCGTCATCAGTTGCTACGCCTTTGTGCGCTGTAAAAAAAAAATTATAATAAAGGAAATTTTTAAAACCATTATTATAAAAAAAATTAATGTACTGAAAATATTTTTAAAAAAAATCAAACTTGCTTAATTTAGCCAACATCGGTCGATAATATGCGTGAGACAATTTCTATCAAGATGCAGTCCAACGAGACAGCTTTACCCGAATGACGAAAAGCCGTCGGCCACGTTTTGATATGATTTCTGCTTATACAAAAGTCTCTTGGTTTTTTTTTTTTGTTTTTTTTTGTTAATAAAAGGTTCTAACAAATTAATGGTTCTAAATGTTACTTTAATCTAAAGTGGTTATTAATAAACAGTAACATTAGGCACAAGAAGACATGCATTTGAAGTGGGTCAAAATCGATCTCGAGTTACAAGATCTGCCACAAATCCACTCCACGATCCATACATAAATACCCATTCTATTTCGCCCTACATGCCATTTGAGATCAGAGTTTTATTCCGGTATCTCTTGTGTGGGCAATGCTCCCACCCGGTGCACACCCAGCGCTCCATCCCCGGAAAAATAGAAAAAAAATGTATATAGAAAATGTTTACTTAATCTAGTGTCTGCCCCCCCCCCTCCTCCTCTGAAGTGACTTCCCCCTACACATCACAATCACCCCACTACAGACATACATGACACAAAACACAAGGAGTGAATCAATCCCCCACATCACCGAGCTTCATATCTCAAACCACCCAACTAGGAACCATAAGCCCTAACCAAACCCCACACCACCCTGTCCTTTAGTTAAAGCGCTGAGCCTGTGTTTCATGAATTAGTGACTCATAAAACGGGTTACCACTATGTCTTTTGATTTCATATTTGGTTGGATTTTAGTTGTTTGTTTTGTAAAGAACTGTTCTTTGCAAACTCATACACAGAGTTTCTTCCGATGAAAGTCTACCGCCCATTCCCCCAGGACCAATTGGAATTTGTCGTAGATTGGCTATTTTATTAGGACACACTGACGATAGAAACCATGTTGATTGTATATAGTTTATACAGCCTCAGCCACCATGACGGAACAGGAAGTCACAAGACATAATACAAGGGACATCACTCAATAACAACATTATAAATATAAGACTAATACAAGAAGAGAGAGTTCCCTTGACTTCACAATTCTCAATATATTACAGAATTTATATCGCGCTTTTTTGACGATTTTTACCTCCCCCCTCCCCTCCGTCACACGTCGTCACAAAAAGCCAGACCCCCCCCCCCCTAATAGGACGTCACACCTCAGCCTACAACCTCCCTCAAAATTGCAGTTGAATTTTTTGTTTTAACATCGATATTTTTCTAAAATTGTGTCTGAACTCTGTCAAAATAGAGTATTTTAATCAATTCCTATTACAATTTATTAAAACAGTTTTCTAAAACGCGAAATAACGTCTAACATTCGTTTTCTAACATTGCTTTTTTATAATGCAAAAGTGTGACGTCATACCATCTGACCCCCCCCCCCTACCCTCATCACACACCGTCACAAAATTACGGACCCCCCTCCCCCCTACGAGTGTGACGTCATTTATGGACGACCCCTTTTACCAGTGTTCGGTGTTCCCCCGCCCACCCCCTCCCCCCAAAAAAATAATATCAAGAGCCACATGAAGAAAAAAATCTGGAAGAAACACTGCACGCACACCAAAAAAAAAAAAAAAAGAACAGTCGAGTAGACTGGTGAAAAATGTTTGGGATCCACTGCGTTTATAATTTGAATCATCATGGTTTTTGGTATTTAGAGTTTAGAAATAAATCTAAAAATATAAATCTAGCTTTAAGTAAAGTGTAAGTCTCGAAAATGGCTGCTTCCATTTCCAAGAAAAACGTATGCGGTGTTTTTTCGATAGCTAACATAATCATTGTTTCTGCTATATTCTGCATTGCTTGCTGCTCTTCAGAAAATATTCAAAGCGTCAAACAATCTAATGGTAAAAATAGGATCTAGATAGTAGACTAGTTCTATGTAGTATGTATGTAGCTTAGAACAAAGGGAGATAATTTTCGGTAATCTATCGTTTTAGGTACGTAAAATCGCCCGCGACTAGTAATGTGAAAAACAGGTGACTCCTTACATTTTAATAATTATTTCACATTTTGAGTAGGATTTATGTTTTGAAAAATACAAAAATGTTTCCTTGTTTCATTTACATTTATGTACCTGTTTTTAAACAATTGAATTAAAACTTTTCAGTAATAAATGAACACCAGCGATGTTTCCAACAGATGCAACCATGCTCATTTACTATAGCAGCCATATTGTTAAAGTTTTATTTTTATAGACTTATAGCGCGAGAATCAGGCGGAAGTCACTCTATTTTTCAAATGGCTGCTGAGTTTGTATAGTATAGCAAATCTTGCTTGCAGACACTGCTGTTTAAAGTTAACTTCTGGCCTATATTGATATATAATAATAAACCTAAATCAATGGCTAAATAATATTATTCATTTATCTATAATATTTGACACAAACATATCACAATATACTTCTATTACAGCCTTGAGGTAACGTTTTCGTACATTAATAGCCGCGGGCAATTTTACTTACCCAAAATGATAGATTACCTAATTTTCATACTAATCTATTTTAAATTTTTACTATTATTCTATAATAATACTAGATCTATAGTTCATAAATGAAGACTAGTTTAGCTATAGTTATTAAGAGATTTTACTTTAATTTACTAATACTAATATTTACTTTCATTTTAATGCTTTTACCTCATAGTTGACCCATAATTATATTTATTACATTTACTGCTATCTCCATTTCATTTTACAGCTGAAGATTCTATACATCAAAATGATGTCCATAATACAGAACAAACCATTGATCAGCATTACACCTCAAACCAAGAGCAACAGAATGAAATCAGTAAATCTGAAAAATCTCGGAAGCATATTCATGACACACTTAAGCTTAAAAAGCAGTCTTACATGAATTCACAGCTAAATGCGCAAGGTAAGTGTTTTTTTAAAAGTTCCTACTAGAGTTATAACAGTGTGTTATAAACAATGATAATGGTAGAAGAGCTAGTTTATAATTTATGAGATGCCTTGATTGAAATGAATTTATTTGCAAATTATTTCTTTAGCCTACATAAATTGGAATATTTAATAAAAATGTTAATCAGCATAGTAAAGTTCTCTTCTGAACCCGATGATCTATAGGGCAGATGAGGTCAAGTTTAACAGTATCTTGACCACAGTATATGAAGGGATGGTCTGGTCAGCACTATGTCCAGTAGCCTTTACTTTCCTTAATGTGACTCAATCTACTCGTCAGAGCTGAGTTGACTTAAATCAACATAATTGTAGCAAGTTTTTTTTTCTATTTTACAGAAATTGCCAATCGAACTCTCAATGAACTACTTAAGATTTATGAATCTACCATTCAGCCTCTTGAGGACGCATACAGGTTCAGTGACCTTAATAAAGACTCTTTATTGGGTGTGTAACTTTTGTTAATTTTATTCTTTTGCTTACCAATAATTGTTTAAAAATTAATATCTGTTTAGTGAAGTTACTTATGGTCTAAGTGGGACAACAATTAGAAATGGAGGAATTTAAACTAAATCAGGAATGATAATATGTATTTTTTGTAGGTGCAGAAATAAAGGCTAAGCCTCTGATTTTACTCATTGGGCCATGGAGCACTGGAAAAACATCCCTCATTAACTACTTGCTAGGTTTAGAAAACTCTCCTCAAAAACTTCATACAGGTAAAAGTTTGAAGAAAAATAATGGATTAATTAAACATCTAAAATAAAATAACCAACAATCAAGGTTAATAAGTGTAGTATTTTAGTTATTGAACTTTGTCTTACAACTATTTAGGTGCTGAGCCAACTACTAGTGACTTTTTTATAATACAAAATGGTCCACAATATAGAACTATAAAGGGTATGCAACTCATCACAGATCAAAGATTATCTTTTGCTTCCCTTGAAAGATTGGGCCTGGTATGTTTGTATTTAAAACTTGTATTGTTTGCTTTTAACTTTATTTTTTTTGCTGATGTTTTTTTTATAATTAAAAAGGGACTTAATATATTAGGAATTGTTTTTGTTTTAAAAATAAAAATAGTGAGATTTACTTACACATTATACTCAAAATTAGCACTCTGATATATTTGTGTAATAATATTTTGTAATATTTTGGAAAGCATTTTCTAGAGCGATTAAAAGGTGTTGAGCTTCAATCGCCATTGCTTGAACTAGTGACATTAGTGGACACTCCTGGCATCCTGGAGAATAAAAAACAGCAAGAGAGGGGCTACCCATTCAATGAAGTGACTGAGTGGTTTATTCAAAGAGCCAGCATCATCTATTTGGTGTTTGATCCCACCAAGTTGGAAGTAGGCTCTGAGCTGGAGGGGATTTTTAATATGGTAAACTTGGATGAGTTTTCTTTTTTTTAACCAAAACAAATTACAAACTTTTTTTTTAATATGCCTGGCTAAAAATTAGACCTACACTTAATAACCTTTTTTGCTTAACGATTCTGAGTACAGTATTTTAAACAAACCACTGTAGGAAATTTAAAAAAAAACAGCACTTTCCTACTTGTGTACATTCATTTAAAATTATGTTGATAGCTTGATGCTACATAATTAACTTTTTGCTTTAAAAAAGCTTTCAAAGCTAATTTTGTTTGCTATTAAGTCTAACTTAGAGGTGTATTAAAGTACTTCATGTTTTAAAATAGGTTCAAATTTATTTAAGGAAATTTTTTTTTTGCAGCTTAAAGGCCATGATGGTAAAGTCAGACTGCTGTTAAACAAAGCCGACACAGTTTCTCAGCAGGAGCTAATGAAAGTGTATGGGGCTTTGTTCTGGAGCTTGGGCCCCCTTATACACTCTGTGGAGCCTCCGAGGGTGTACGTAGGATCCTTCTGGTCAAACACTCGCACTGACCACCCACTGGCCAAGCTGTTTCTGGAGGAAGAAATGACACTGCTAGAGGATCTAAACCAGATCATTGAAAACCAAGTTGAAAATAAGATTGCCTATGTGCGTCAGCATGCCTCTTTAGTTCGCTTGCATGCCCTCACCATAGATGCCTTTATTAAAGTATATGAGAAAAACAAAAGTTATTTATTCAGTAATGATGAATTAATGTTAAATATTATAGAAGATCCTGTTAAATATAATGTCTTCCAAAATTTGTTACTAAACAATGAGGTGAGTAAATTTGATCTGCCAAAACCTGAGACTTATATTGAATTTTTTAAAAACAATCCCCTAGAAATGTTTAAACCTCTAAGCAAATATTGTTCATTTTTTAGTGCTTGTTATCTTGATACCATAAACAAGGCATTAAATGAACAATTGCCAAAACTGCTGAACACCATGAAACTAAATCGGGCGCAAGGTTTCTGTACAAAAGATTCTTGTACAAAATCTTAATTTCTGCCCTAATTTATTTTTTTGCTCAAATTGTTATCATTTTATAATTCAAACAGATTTTCTTTTTCAGTTTAAATTTTATGGTTATAGATAGAAACCATTTTCATGTAATGCTTTTTGTATTTTAGTTGCTTGTTATTTTTTCATCTACATGCTAGATATAGTATATGGTTGAGGTTAAAGTAGTTTAAAGCTATTCAATACTGTCCACTTTCAAATAAGTCGGCACATGTGGCTTTGTGTTCAACATGTCTTTACTGTTTTCTACTACTGGTATTAGAACACTAATCATTAAAAATGTATGTTGTCAGATGTAATTAATTAAACATTTACCTGAATTTTATTTATGCATGTTAATAATACATGTACTTATGAACTGAAAATAATTAAGAATGTACTATCTACTGTTGTAAAAAAAACATGCAACATGGTTCAGAATTATTGTTGTTTAGGTTTATATAACATTTTGCCAAATAGAATGGGTGCCTGAACAATTGACAATCTTGATGTCTAGTCAACCAAGCATTTACCCTTTTTACCCTCTAGTTTGTGACAGTGTTTAGATTCAACTGTCCACATGTTTCGCCTAGTGGGTTTCACACATGGGGTTTTAATAGACTTTTACAGAGTGTGCCAAGGTTAACAAATCATCCTCTCAGGCCTGTTTCTATCTTAAATTTCGAAGGCCTAATAGGTGGTTTGTTTTACTCCTGGTAGAGCATAATATTGTTGTTTTGTAACACTAATACTATAGGCACATACAAACTTAATGCCTTGGTAAACTTAATGTGTTAATAAGTTTACAATATTTATAACCAAACTGTCATTATAAATTGTCAGTATTTTATAATCATTTGATAATTATGGCTGTGATATTACATCCATTCCCATTTACTGAATATAGCAATATGCATATTTTTGAAATACATGTAATCTCAATTTAATGCAATCTTCTTTTAAAATATAAGATTTCAGTTGTTTTTATTTTATTAAATGGAAATATTTTTGTATTGCTTTTGCAGTTTTATCTTTATTCTTAATTTAATCCTGTGGGAAAAGGTATTTACTATGTTCGTTTTTTAAACTTGACCAAAATAATAATACATAAAAATAAAAATAAATACTTTTTGCAATGGTAAAATTTCTACATAATAATGAATCTTTATCTTTAAAAAACCTGAAATATCTGCTGTAGTTCATGAAACATTTTATTTTACACCTATGTAAAATGTTCCAAACTAGTTTTTTAAAATCCCTTTAACATACACATGTTTTAACAAATTGGTACAAAGGAAAACTAAAGTAAAAAATATACACAGGCTAGTTTCATGTAAGAGAATTCTATTATTCCCGAAAAACAACAGTATAGGCCTACTAGACTAATAGATGAATTAGATAGGCCTATAGTCAGTGAGTTGAGAAGAGTTATGTTGCCTATATATTAGCCCCCACCCCATCCATTTCGAGTGGTGTCTCTCTGTGCCTTACGTGTATGCTTAATAAGCGATTTTATCGTGAAAATGTTGAAGTTCTCATAGCAGTTAGCTATTTTTCACTCATTCTCACCTCTGTGTCGTCATCAGCCCACCCAAACTAGTCTAGTCTACTTGCAATTAACTCATACATAAGAAGAGGTTGTTAAAAAGTAACTAGTCCTCTTCAAACCTAGCAATCCATTGGCCAGATGAAGTAGAGTTCATGTTTCTTGACATCGGCAAATGAAGGGATAATATGGTAAGCACTGTGTGCCCAGCCGCTTTTACTTTCCATAACGTGAGTTAGATACCCACTGGCAGATAAATCTCGATCCCCTTCAACACTTAAATTAAGAACGAAGAAGAAGAAGAAGAATTCCGTTTTAAAAACACGATTAATAATTGTAAAACAGAATTATCAATATATTAAAATATTTTAGAAAGAAATCGCTGTTTTTTTTTTTTTAAATTGCAATTTTGAGGGAATGGGCGGTAGGTTGTGACGTCATTGAGGGGGGGGTGTAGGACAAAAGGCCGACATCCAAAAGGCCGACAAGACAAAAGGCCGACACGATCAAAAGGCCGACATGGACAAAAGGCCGACAGCCGAAAGGCCGACAGGACATAAGACTTTTGTCCATGTCGGCCTTTTGTCCGTGTTGGCCTTTTGTCTATATCGACCTTTTGTCCGGATCCCCATTTAGGGGGGGGGGGGGGATTCTGACATTTTGTGACGATGGTTTTGTGACGGTAGGGAGAACAGGAAGGTAAAATCAATTTTTTAAATGTATGTAGCGCAGCTTCTTAAAAATAGTTCTTCGCTTTTAGAGAAAGCGTTGTCGATCGATACTTCCCTAGTAACCATCTAGTGTTTTCCAGGAAAGCCACACCTAGACGTGTACTCAGAGCAGTGGGCGATTTTGTGTTTAGTTGCGTCATTTTGTTTCTAAAGCAGCGCTATAATACAAGCACAGGCCTACAATTTTAATAAACCATAATTCTAAACGGACATTAGGTGAAAATAATATAGAAAATAACTGTGTTAATGTTAAATTATGTTGTTTTTGTTTTCGCCAGAGAAAGGGTGTGCCATCTAAATTACAGAAACAAAAATCGCGATTCTGAAGTGAAAAAAAAAAACCTGTTGACGACACCAGTTTGAAAAAAAAACAGACTTTTCCTTTCGCGATTCAGCTCTGACTACAAACATGAATAAATTCTTTTTCGTGTTCGCAATAGAAACATTGTTAAATCTTCGCACTGTTTCCTGCGGTTATCAACAAGGTAAGTTTATTGATTATAGCAAACTTATTCTTGTATACCATATAAATAAGTCGACGCCTTACAACCAGTGTTTCCAGTGTTTCTTCCAGACTTTTTTCTCCGGGGGGGGGGGGGGGCAGTAGACTTTCTTTTGGGGGGCGGACACTGTTAAAAGTTACACGCAGTTTACCTTTCGTGGTCTCAATGTTGATACGAAATGGGAGTGAGTTCCCGTAAACTTTATAAAGGGATGGGATGTCATTTCTACTGGAATTGGGCTATAGAAATAACGTCACGCTTTTTTGACGATTTTTACCTCCCCCTTCCCTACGTCACACGTCGTCACAAAAAGTCAGACCCCCACCAACTCTAAAATGACGTCACACCTCAGCCTACAACCTCCCTCGAAATTGCTGTTGAATTTTCTTAATTAAAACATCAATATTTTTCCAAAATCTTGTCAGAACTCTGTCAACATAGAGTATTTTGATCAATTCCTATTACAATTTATTAAAACCGTTTTCTAAAATGCGAAATAACAGTTTTCTAACATTGCTTTTTATAGTGAAAAAAGTGACGTCACACCATCTGAACGTCCCCCCCCCCTCCCCCTCATCACACACCCACAAAATTACGGACCTCCCCTCCCCCTACGAGTTTCACGTCATTAATGGACGACTCCTTAAACCTCTCCCCATTTACCGCTCACCTAGGAGTGAAAAAATAGTAGGCCTACTCTTGCGAACCTTACGGTTCATGGGTTGGTGTTGCATCAGTGCTCTCTGCATATGCTACTTTTGTCAGCACCAAGCACTTTCGCCTTTACTTTTCCAAACGTGAGTCAGGTGGACTCAGAGACGTCCTACGGATTTGAGTTCGGGATCCGAACACGAGACTTTCGGGTTAGCATTCGGACACTCTACCATTCAGCCACGCTGTTCCTTATGCGTTGCCTAATTTTCTTTTCTCTCTCCAGATATGGCTGTTGAACAAGTTTTCAATGAACTACTTAAGATTTATGAATCTTCCATTCAACCTCTTGAAAATGCATACCGGTTCAGTGACCTAAATAAAGATGCTTTGCTAGGTGTGTAATACGATTACCTTTATATTTCCATACTTTTAAACACGTACAATGAATCTAACTTTTTAGAATAAAAGTGGCTGTCGACTGCATTTGAAAAAGTTATCTTATCTTAAAGAAAACGACAGCCAACTGTAAGTGAAAAATTATAAGAAGAACTTTTAAAATTATGAATTGCTATTTGCATTATATTTGAAGGTGCAGAAATTAATGCTAAGCCTCTGATTTTGCTCGTTGGACCATGGAGCACGGGGAAAACAACCTTCATTAACTACTTGCTTGGTGTAGAAAACTCCCCACATAAACTTCATACAGGTTGGTTTAAAATAAATACTAACAAAATTGACTATTACGCTATTTAAAACTTACTATTAGTTGAGATTTAGAATAACGTGATATTACTGTTAAATTTATTCAAAAATGTTTTTATCACTCCTAAAAATGAAATACTACTTTTCTACTTTTTAGGTGCAGAGCCAACTACTAGTGACTTTTTTATAATAAAAAATGGTTCGCAGTATAGGACAATAAAAGGGATGCAACTCATAACAGATAAAACATTACCATTTGCTTCCCTTGAAAGATTGGGCATGGTATGCTTGTTTATTTTCCCACGTTTTCTTTAACTTGCTTTCGCGTCTGTTTGTTTGTTTGTTTGTTTGTTTCTCCAATCAAATCTTGCGATCAAAATTTCGGGCACTTCCCAGTTAGCTAGCGCGCTGAAATTTTCAGGGAAGCTTTGTTTCCGATGACAATAGAATATTCAATTGTTATTATTACTAAATTGATCCATGGAAACATTTTATTGATCATTTTAGACCAGTGTTTCTTCCAGACTTTTTTCTCCGGGGGGCACTTGAAATCTTCGGGGGGCGGTAAACTTTTTTCGGGGGGGGGGCGGACACTGTTAAAAGTATATATTTTCTATATAAATTATATAAATTTCATTTCGTTCGGGGGGCGGTAAAAATTTTTCGGGGGGGGGGGGGGGGGGGGCGCCGTGATTTTCTTACAGTTTCTAATACTGTTGACTCTCTACAAGCTCCCTAATAAAACTCAATAGTATTATCTAATCAATAGTAATATAACTTTTACATCTTATATTAACAATGACCGATAAAAAACTTTTACTTCGGCGCCCCACGTTTTTCATCGCTTATAGTAGAGTGATTGCTTGCATTATTGTGATGTATAGCATTTATTTTCTACTTTTTAGTTCAATCAGAAAACGTGGGTTTTTTTAAACTTTTTTAATGATAATTATTAAAAGATCAATATTTATTGTAAAATACTACTACCACCTTCGTCGTGAATTATAACATGTGCATGACTACTATATATATATATATATAAATTTGACTTATCAACAAGACTTGATACTTAAAGTAAACAAGTTGTTTTGAAACCAACGCAGTAAACACAGATGGACCAACCAATACGAAATATTACGCAATTGGTGGTACCAAAATAGAATAGTTTGACCTTGATAGAACTTGTTTACTAGACCGGATGTGCCAGCTGTGTTTGTCTGGGTGTGTATATCATAGCCAAATGAGGTTCCACAGCCTAGCTGCTGAATTCCTAAGCCGTGGACGAATACATACACGACGCATTTGAGTGCTGCAAGAAAGGGTTGAACGCAACCTAACAAAAACGTCACACGTCTGTGACATATAAATGAATAAATATACATATACATAATATATCTCTACACTTAAATATCTAAAAATAAGATAGAGATACTTTTACATAGCCTAATTATTTGTGCAAAATTAACGATCGTTCGTATACTACTATTATTTTTTGCTCTTATTATTTTGAAAAGAATTTTATAGAACGACTAAAAGGAGTTGAGCTTCAATCGCCATTGCTTGAACTAGTGACATTAGTGGACACTCCTGGCATCCTGGAGAATAAAAAACAGCAAGAGAGGGGCTACCCATTCAATGAAGCGATTGAGTGGTTTTTTCAAAGAGCCAGCATCATCTATTTGGTGTTTGATCCCACCAAGTTGGAAGTAGGGTCTGAGCTGGAGGTGGTTTTTAATATGGTAAATGCCTTTATACATGTGCTTTAGTATAAGGTTTTTTATTATATTATAATATGTATGTGCATGCTCAACTCAAATGTTTAATTTTTTTTTTAATTTATAGCTTAAAGGCCATGATGGTAAAGTCAAACTGCTATTAAACAAAGCCGACACAGTTTCTCAGCAAGAGCTAATGAAAGTGTACGGAGCTTTATTCTGGAGCCTGGCCCCACTGATACACTCTGTGGAGCCTCCGAGGGTGTACATTGGATCCTTTTGGTCAAAGAAACGTTCAAATCACCCACTAGCCAATCTGTTTGAAGAAGAAGAATCTACCATGCGTTCGGATCTTAACCAGACCATCGAAAACCAGGTTGAAAATAAGATTGCTTATGTGCGTCAACATGCCTCTTTAGTTCGCTTGCATGCTCTCACCATAGATGCCTTTATTAAAGTATATGAGAAAAACAAAAAATTATTATCCAACAATGATGAATTAATTTTAAATATCATTGAAGATCCCAACAAATATAATGTCTTTCAAAACTTGTTGTTAAACTCGGAGGTAAGCAAACATGATCTTCCAAAACCAGAAACATACACTGAATTTTTCAAACTAAATCCATTAACAACATTTACACCTCTAAGTAAACATTGCCCATTTTTTAGTGATTGTTATCTTGAAGCCATCAACAAAGCATTAAACATACATTTGTCTCATCTGCTAGAAAACATAACCTTTATACGAAGAAATGCTTTTTGTACCAAAAAGAATTGTTTAAAACCATGATAACATACAAATCATGATCATAGCAGCTAGCTTGAGAGGATTTACTAAACTTTTATTATTTTTTTAATATGAGTGGCTAGGCTTTTTTTTTTTTGTTTATTTTATTTTAGTGATAACATAGCGATAACATAAAAATCATGATCATAGCAACTAGCTTTTTTTTGGTTTATTTTATTTTAGTGGATTTGCATAAATAGTTTTTATGGTGTGGAAGTAGTGCGGTAGTACTACGAGGCGAATGTTTTTTATTAGCGTAATGTTAATTAGCTGATGTTTGATGAAAGTTTATCTTTTTATAATTGTTAGTCTTGGTAGTTTTTTTTTTTAGTATTTTAATGTTAGTATTATTCTGTTTTTATTAGTGTTAATCGAGTTTTATTTGGAAGAGTGTAGTTGAGCAGTTGGGGGTATTTAGGTCGAAATACAGCGAGATTTGTCCTTCTGGAAACGATCGAGTTGGGAGAAAAACTGTCAAGAAAACGATTAGTAACTGAATGGGTTATTTGTTTTGTTATGTTTCGTTTCTAGATCTATGTTTCGTCATCATGTTTTGTTATGAGTACTAGATAGGTTGATTTATGTTGCTTATTTGATTTGGTTCCATTTTGTCCCTATAAAAGGTATGATTAGTTGATTCTATGTTATGTTT